CACACACACACACACACACACACACACACACACACACACACACACACACACACACACACACACACACACACACACACACACACACACACACACACACACACACACACACACACACACACACACACACACACACACACACACACACACACACACACACACACACACACACACACACACACACACACACACACACACACACACACACACACACACACACACACACACACACACACACACACACACACACACACACACACACACACACACACACACACACACACACACACACACACACACACACACACACACACACACACACACACACACACACACACACACACACACACACACACACACACACACACACACACACACACACACACACACACACACACACACACACACACACACACACACACACACACACACACACACACACACACACACACACACACACACACACACACACACACACACACACACACACACACACACACACACACACACACACACACACACACACACACACACACACACACACACACACACACACACACACACACACACACACACACACACACACACACACACACACACACACACACACACACACACACACACACACACACACACACACACACACACACACACACACACACACACACACACACACACACACACACACACACACACACACACACACACACACACACACACACACACACACACACACACACACACACACACACACACACACACACACACACACACACACACACACACACACACACACACACACACACACACACACACACACACACACACACACACACACACACACACACACACACACACACACACACACACACACACACACACACACACACACACACACACACACACACACACACACACACACACACACACACACACACACACACACACACACACACACACACACACACACACACACACACACAAAAACACACAAAAACACACACACACACACACACCCAGCTGGGCCTCATCTGCAGCACACACAATACACTGCATACTCAGACCGTGATCAAACGACAGCCTAGTTGCTTCTTGTGCTATCAGCCTGCTGCTGTTCCTGCTGCTGCAGCGGCAGCTGTTCACAGAGAGTTTGCTGTGTTGTCAAGCAGCTTCACATGCAGCGCCTGCCAGTCATACTGCTGTCAAACAGTGGTCTGTCAGACAGTGGTCTGACAGCACAGCGACAACGGCACAGTGCAGTAGTAGGATTGCCTGAAGCAGCACACAGGGTAACCACAAGCTGTTGCGCACACCACAAGTAACATGACCAGGTAACACATTGATACCTAAACCAACGAAAGCCGCTGAGCAAATGCAAAGCAAACGCTGCGCGCCGCAGCAGTCGTATGTGCAGAGGACAGCAGCAGTGGGAACAGACATGCAAACCTACATGTTTGTGGGTTGGGTGTAACCACAGTGCATATGCTGACAACACAGCTGCAATGCAGGCATGCTTAGCGACATAGCAGCACAGTTCCTGTACGTGCAGCATACAAACATTGGACTGTGCGTGCAAGCATACGTAAGCGCAAGGCCAGAAGCCCATCATGGCTGCTGACCGACAGCCAGGCGTCATGGACACGTGCCTATACTCGATCAAAAGTGTTCCTGTACTTAAAAGCAACAAACTATAGCAACAAGCTGAAACAAGCTGTGTGCAGCAGGTGCCTGCAGTCTTGCACTGTACTGCTGCATCAAACTGCTGCATTGAACTGCTGCACTGTACTGCTGCATTGTGCGGCAGCAGCCAACTCTGCCGTATGGGGCAGCATTCATCGCCCTTGTACGCACTGCCTGCTGCTGTAGCTGCATCACAACACACAGCTGCAAAATGCAATCTCACTGTCAACAGCTCTGATAACAAGCCAAAGGCGGAGCTTGCCACTGTGCCATGGTGTATCATCACTGCACATGCTGACGATCTATTCAGAAGATGAAGACGTTGCCAGAAAAAAACAACAACAGTGCAGGCTACCACAACTGCACTCTAGCCAAGCCCTCAAAGGCCAGCCAGGCCTCAAGCAATGCACAACCAACCACTCAGCACCAAAGCATGCAACCACGGCCGAACAAGGTGCGTTTACACAAACAATTGCACGTTTGAGCCGTGCAGACAGTTTGCTGCTGAGTTGCACGGGGTGGCAACCACAATACACGCACCTTACAGCTGTACAGTGCTGGGTGAGGCTGACAGAACACGGTTAACGCATGTTCAAAGCGCAACAATCAAGCAGCAGCGGCGGCTGACACTAGCTGCTGCTGAAGCTCTGAAATCGCACAGCACCACCATCCAGAGCACGCGTCAGCAAAGATCACCAGCAGAAGCATGGAGCGCAGTTGAGCTGCTGATCGCTGTCGTTACTGCGCAACACCCTCCACGCATCTTGATGCAAGCAGCGCAACATGAACAGCTGTTCATGGACTAAGCACCAAGCATATGCATGGGAAAGTAGTTAACAGTTGCAAGAAAACCCAGGACAACTGCCATATGCCTGCATGCACGCAATCTATCAA